TTCTACTTTACCACCACTCTTTTGCTTTGGGCCTTTTGGGGGAGTGCTGTCCTGGTCCATTCGTGACAGCCATAACACGGACACGACCATAAGACACAGGACAAACCACCGGGCCCTTACTGTTACTCACGGGAAGAATGATTTGTGCTTTATGCTGAGGCAGTCAGCAAGTGGCTTTTGCTAAAAGCTGTGACTCTTCCCTTGGTCACATGGATAGGTTATAGTAGGGACCATCATTCTGTGCCCTTTATTACCCTGAAGTGTTGGATAGGAGTACATTAAATGTTTAGAAAAAGTTTGCTAGCCCTAAACTTGTGGCCTATTTGATCCCCTTCCAAGACTGAGGACACCCAGGTAAGAGCAACTAACTGGTCATTCTCAGGCTTCCAGGGCCGTCCGCGTTGTGGTGTGGGTCTGGAGTGCCCCCAGAGCTCCTGCACTCAGAGGCAGCGCTTGTGGAAGATGCCTGAGTTACAGCATTCCAGCTCACTTGCTGTTAGGAAGTAGGGCCTGGTTACCAGTGGGTCACTCGGCTGAGACCTGGGAGGGTGCATGTCCCTCCCCAGAGCCTCCATTTCTCTCTGCTTCCTGTCTGCCATGAAGTGAGCAGCTGTTCTTCCACCAGGACCCTCTACCTCGCTGTTTTCTTCCTTGGAACAAGGACTGTAACCACGAGGCAAAATAAACCTCTTCTCCTGTAGGTTGTGGGTGTCAGGTATTTCATCCTGGCAATGAGCACAGTGACTACGGTAAGACAGTCTGCCAGTTGTACCACAGCCAGCTCCAGGGCCCCTCCCTGGAGTGATGCCCATGTCTCTAGCCATTGCCCTAAACCAGCGATGGCAAGCAAACCTCTTAGAGACGAGTGCCCAAACTGCAACCCAAAACCCACTTATTTACTGCAAAATGCCCACACTGCAGTTAAACCAGAATACTGAAGGTTTAATTCATACAAACCAACTCGTACATGGACATCTTTTGACTTAAAAGAAAAACCACACGTGTGCCATAGGTTCATCAGCACTGGCCTAAACCTAGTCATCGGAGTCACAGGAAAAGCAGAGCCTCACAGGACTGAGCCTGCCTCAAGCAGAGACAATCATCTCACGAGCACTGAATACCCCACAAGCTGTGAGGATTCCCCAAGTGCTACCCAACCAAGACTGAGGTGATGGTCAAGCGGACCCCTACGCACCAACACACCCTGTTAAAGTGTCTCTCTTCTGTGAACGGGCCAGTCAGGTGGCTGCTTTTGTACCTGTGCACCTGTTAGTTCCTCAGAATGAACCTTTTCCTATCATCTTCTTTTACTTTCCTTCAAGAGACAGCTTCATCTTTATTAGAGCTGTGCTTCCCTTTCTCTTATTTTCCAATTAAAACTCTTGCCTCTAAATTAATACTGCTGCTTTAATCTCCATTAGCATTAAAGCAAGACCCATGCTAACCGAGGATGCCGAGAGCCCAGGAGCCAGGCCTCTGGCCTGATTCTGCTAACAAAAACTTAAGCAGAGTCATGAGCCTGACACAGTCGTGTGGGAAATACAAACACATGTGGCTGAATATGTACAAAGATCTAAGCCAAGAGGAAATAAGCAAATTTCACAAAATGTCATGTACTGAAATGTACGGAGGACTGGATTGAGGAAGATTAGAAGCCCGGCCCCAGCTGTGATTATTCTCATCTATTTCTGACTCCCGAGTTGGTCGGGACACATTCTGCTTCCAGTTTATGTAAGAATCTCTGCATTAGTGGGAGCCGAAGTCTTTATACTGCCTGTTCTGGAGTCAGTCACATCGCCGTGGGCCGTGTGCTAAGCAGAGCTAACCAGGATAGGAAACATGAGAGAGCGAGCAAGCAGGGGAACGGTACTCCGCACTCTCAAAATAATAGCATCAAACACTGCCTCCAGGTCCCTCCTCTCCATACCGTTACCATGGCAATGACGTTTGGAGGAGATACTGAAGCACAGCCATATCCTCTAAAGGACATACATTTTAAATCTTGAAGCCCAATTTATCTTTACTTTTTGGTTTTCATCCAAGGTTCCTGGCTTGTAACTTTGACCGGCTTTGTCTGATAGCAGTAGGTCTAGACCATAAGAGCTTCCTCATTCTAGAGGGGTTCTGCCCACGCCCTGCAGGGAGGCATGCTGCACAGAGCAGCCAAGACTGCCAAGTGACAGGCCTGGCGACCCCCCAAGTCTATTTTCATCTGTACCCTTTGTGTTGTCCTTTATACTAGTCTGGTGTTTCCCTGAGTTCTGTGGCTGCTCAAGGGGGTTGTGACTTGACAAGGGGGTTGTGTGAGCCCCAATTTACACCAGTTGGTCAAAAGCGCAGGTAAAAACAGGCTGTGGCTCTCAGCAGGCATCAATCAAAAGTGGGGGATATGGAGATACCTCAAACAACTAGGATCTGAACTCCCATTTGACCCAGGTATTCCTCTGCTGGGTATCTTTCCAAAAGAATTAAAAGCATCATACCACAGTGATATATGTGCACCCATGTTCATAGCGGCACAATTTGTAATAGCTAAAACTGGGAAACAGCCCAAGTGCCCATCAAATGGAGACTGGATAAAGAAGATGTGTTTTTTTATAAAATGGAATACTACTCAGCCATAAAGAACGAGAAGCTAGAGACATTTATAGCTAAATGGATGCACATTGAGGTCATGCTCTTAAGTGAAATAAATAGGATGCACATGTCAATACTGAAGTTTCTCTGGTGTGAGAAACTAAAAATGTAAATGTGGATCAAAATGTGTAACTGATACTGTGAAATAGGAAGAAAAGGTCTAAAGGAGTAGGGGAAGTGGGAGGGGAAGGGGAAAGGAAAGAAGGGAAAAGAAAAAATATGAGAAAAGGAAAAAAATGGAAACAAAGTCTTTGTAAATAGGGAAGGATGGAGGGGGTGAAGGGAGGGCAGGGGAAGGGTTAAAAATAAGAACCAAGAGAGATTATGTAAAGGTGCAAATCTCCAATGATGAATGTCATTACTGTGTACCTAAAATGCACCAATAAACTTGATGGGAAAAAAAAGTGGGGGTGGCAGCCTTGGTGACTAAGCTGTCAACCTGTGGGATCTGACACTGCCTCCAGGCAGAGTGTCAGAACCAAAATGGATTGGAGGACACGCAGCTGGTGTCCACTGTGGAACGGTTTGCTTGGCGTGTGAGAAACCCCTACTCATCTGGCATCAGGAAGGATGTGTGTAAACATACAGGAGAAACTGAGTCTGACCTGGTTTCTCCTTCTATATCCTCACGTGTTGTATCTAAAAAATTTAATCCTAACTCATGATTTTTATTTTTCTAAGAGTTTGTTGTAGCTTTTACAATTTAGTTCTTCAATCCACTTGAGGTATTTTTTGTAGATGATATAAGGGTCTAACTTCATTCTTTTGCACGTGGAGATAAACATATCCCAATACAATTTGAAGACTGTTCTTATCTCCACCAAACTGTCTTGGCACCCTAAAATCAACTGCACATAAATGTATGAGATTTTTTTTCCTGAACTCTCAATGATACCCTAACTAGTCTGTCATATTCATCCTTCTGCCAGTACCACTGAGTCTTCATTGTTGTCAATTTTAAAATTGGGAGTTGTAAGCCTTTCCATTTTGTTCTTTTTCAAGATTGTTTTTGCGATTCCTGGTTCCTTGCATTTCCATGTGAATTCTTTTTGTTTTGTTTTGTTTTTTGGTGCCGGGGATTGAACTTGGGACCTTGCACTTGCGAGGCAGGCGGCAGAACCACTGAGCTAAATCTCTGGCCCCTTCCAGGTGAATTTTAGGATAGGCTTTTCATTTCCTAAAAGAAAGCAGCTGGGATTTTGATAAGGAATATACTGAATTTGTAGATAAATTTGATGAGTATTATTGACTATTAAGTCCTGCAATCCATGAATGAGATCTTTAAGTCTTCTTTAATATCTTAAACTTAGTATAAGTTTTATACACTAAAGAAACATCCCTAAGTATTTTATTACTTCTGATGCTATTAAAAATTGAACTGTGTTTAATTTCTTTTTTGGGGTTGTTCACTGCTAATGTATTGAAAACAGCTGATTTTTACAGATTGATCTTATAGCTCACAATCCTGCTGAATTAATTTATTAGCTCTAATAGCCTTTTTGTAGATTCCTCAGGCTTTTCTACATACAAAGTGATGTCACTTGCAAGTCACTTTACCTCTTCTTTTCCTATCCGGATGCCTCTTGTTCCTTTGTTTGCCTCATCACCCTGGCTCGAACCTCTACTGTAATGCTGCATACAAGTAGTAAGAGTACATCTTTGTCCTGCTCCTGACAAAGGAGAAACTCAGGGAGTTGTTTCTTAAGTGAAACTTGGACATTTCTGTAGTTTGAGGGAAAGGAATCAGAGGGCAAGGAGACTAAGAACATGCACAAGGAAAGGGAATCACTGTCAGAGAAAGATCGGACAGGCGGGCAGAAACAAGGCCACTTCTTTGGGAGACGGAAGGACACAAAGAGGAGTGGACAGATATAAGCTGGGCCCAAAGGCGGGCAGCTGCTCTTCACCTCTAAGACCCTACCTCTCCTGGAAAATGCAGTGATCATCTGGGGAAGGACCAGAGGGGAGCCCAGCTGATGAACAGTCTGCCCAGCGAGGCTCCAGGCCTCTCTGCTTCCTGGCTCCTTGCTCCTCTCTGCAACTTGTTCTGTCTATGCCCTGGCACTGTGCGGGAGTATCCGGAGGGTGAAATATACTGAAAACATACGCTGACCGAAGGCACATTTCTTGAAGTTGGGTGTTCGATGTTTCTTCCTTGAAAGGCTGGAGAGGCAAGAAGAACCCAACTCTTTTTTGCTCTGCCCTCCTGAAGAGAAGACAGATCCCTGCGGCTACAACCCCACCCAGTTTCCATGACAGCTGCGCTTGGGACGGGGTGACACCCCCTGCCTCACCCACAGCTAAGAGGCCCATAGTGCCCTTGTGGGAGCCCTGCGGGAAGACAGCCACTGCAAACAAAGGTGGTTGGGCAGAGTTGGAGTTTATTTGCTGCAGTTCCTTGGTGCTAGTTTACAAGGCAAAAAACAAACAAACAAAAACAACTGGAATAATAATAATTATAATTTTTTAAAAGCCCTGTCAACTTTCAGTCATTTCTTTATATTTTGACAAAATTTTTTTAAAACAAATACAAAATAATCTAAAAGGAGAAAAACTATACATGGATTATTTACACCTCTGATAAATAGACTAATACTGATCCAGGTGCCTCTCTGTCCAGGAAACATGAGTGAGAACCAGCTCGAGGGCCTGGGCCTGGGCCCGCTGGAGTGCTCTGGCTGGCACTGCTCTGGTTCTCTGCCACAGAGCTCAGCTTTCCAGCCCAGACCCACTTCCATCGTCTTCACAAGCGCCAGGTGAAGGCCTGAAGCCACTCCAGGCAGGATCTACAGAAGGGGCCAGAATGCTGCCCTCCCCCGGCCCCTACTCATGCAAAGCTATTTCCAGAGATGCTCCCTATCCTGGGGTCAGAGGACCCAGGCCTGTGAAGACCAGGATCCTCTGCACGCCGACCCGGACATGTGAAGGGTGTGCCGAGCTGCCAGCCACCACCTGCTCTGTCGGCCCTGGCCATGTGGCAGGAGCTGCCCTTGAGAGTCCCTGAGAGAACGGCAGGAGAACGCTGCGTTTCGTGGCTCCCTTCACACCGCACAGGAGGGTGGCCCACTCACACGAATGCCGAATGCTGCAGGGGAGAGGAGCGAGAGGGAACGACCTCTCATTCCATGGGCCCTGCTGAGCAGACCAGGCCCCGCCCCTGGAGGCCACCATGCAGCGCACCAGAGGAGCCCCGGTAGGGCCCGTTTTGAGGCAGAAAAAGCTGAAGCCCCGCAGGGATCAGGTAAGACCTCCTCCTTCCTCTAGAACGAGGAGTGGAGTTTGGGGACAAGAAAGAAAAACCAGATAGAAACCAGTGAGATCACCCAGAACCTATTGGGACAACCTCCTCACAGTTTTGGTTATTAGGTATTTAGCTCAAGGAAAATGCTGACTTTCTAGGTGAAGCCCAGCAAGACCCGGGTTCTGAGGGAGGAAGACGGAGGTGTCCAGCCAGTCGCCTCCTCTCGTCTCCCTCAGCCCCGCAGGCACTTGGGCGGGAGCTGCCCATGCCACTGCCGAAGAGGCCTCCCTGCTGGCTGCACAGTGCCGGCCCTCTCACCCGGACAGGCCCCTGGGCAGCACTCTCGGGCTGGCGGCAGCCTGGGAGCCCTTCCCCAGGGAGTCCCCCAACAGGCAGGGCAGCTGTTCTGTTTCTTTTAAGAAAACAAAAATAGATCCACTGCTCCTCTCACCACATCATAATGTATCCATACGAGTATACGCGGTGCAGGGAGGAAGGCTCTGCACAGGAGTGGCTGTGAGGTGCACAGGGCTCTCCCAGCTCTGCTGCAGACCTGCGGAGCGGAGGAGCACGCTGCCCTGTGTCAGGATCTCCGCTCGGCACAGAGAAAGGCTGAGAGCCTGGGCTTGCAGGCCTCGGTCCCCTTCCCAGTGACGACCCTTTCTGCCCACCCTTTCTCCCCTTAAAAACAATGCAAAGCTGAAGCTAGTCTCTAGAGCTCGGGCAAGGCTGGCCGAGGATGCCTCCGCTCCGCAGTGCTCAGGAGTGGAGGCGCAGGAGAAAGGCCATGGCTCTGCAGGCTGGACGACACCCTGGCAGCACGCTCAGTGTCTCTTCGTGGAGGAGACCTTCTTCTTCCGCGCTGCGAGCATCTCGTAGAAAGGGTCCCTGCTGATGGCTGCTCTGGAGTACAGAAAATGAGGGAGAACAGAAGCGTGAGGGACAGTACTAGAGGAGTCAGACCTGTGTGGGCCCCACTCAGCTGTGCCCGCAATGGCTAAGTCCGTGTGTGTCTTCAGCACTGGCTGTGTCCACACCGCAGCTGTGAAGAGATGCACCAGACGTGGGACACGATGGGGACACGATGCTCTGCTTGTTGCAACCTCAGGCCCACACTCAGGAAGACAATCACTGCATGTTCCTGTAACTGCTCTAACTCACAGCTTACCAGCCACACAACAGCAGGCACTGCCAGGTGGGTGGTGGCACCAGAGCCACCCATTCCTTGTGAGTTAACTGGGAACCTGTTCACCAGTTTCCACAGCTCTCAGGAAGTGTCAAGAACAGAGGGTGAAGGCCTCACCACCAGCAGGATCACCACCCAAAGTGGCTTGCTGCGGGAATCTGCCACGCTTCCTGTGACAGCCGTCACCCAGGCAGAGTACCAGCCTGCCTATGGGTGAGCTCATCTCATCCGAACAGCAGCCCAGGGACTGGGCATGGCCTCCTCTGCCGGGAGACAGCGGGGACTCCACGCGGGGAGGCCTTCCTGCAGACTCCTGCCCCACCACCCGTCTCCTGCAGTCTCAGAGATTCCTTATGTGAGAACAAAGCATCCACCCCACCCCAGCCCGGCCCAGCCACCACACCAGCTCCATCTCCGTCACTTACCCAGTACCTAACCTTGGCAAAACACCATGCTGATTTGAACAGAAATACAAAAAACAAACAGACCTTCACTCTGGGCTAAAGAGAAGGCACAGTTTGCTGGGAGGACCCCCGGGCCTCCAGGCTCCTTGGCGGGCACAGTCTCTCCACTTCCCAGGCAAGGCCACCAAGGCCCAGGCAGCAGTGGAGACTTTCTAAGCAAACACACCTGGGCAAATTCTGAGGGCTGAAGTGCTGAGGGAAGCGCAAGGGTGCACTCAAGAGAAATGACAGTGACAGCATGTGAGCGAGGAGCCCAGGCTGGCCTCAGGGGACAGCGGGCTGTCTGGACCGGGCCACACACAAGAGTATGAAGGATGAAAAGCCAGTGAGCTCTGGAAAGCTGTACTTCCAGACACGGGCCACCCAGGACAGCTCTGTCCCCAGGATACACCTCACCCTGAGGAACCTGGTGCAGAACAGAAGTCACAGCCCTGTCCTCAGGGTCCTTACAGCACCGCGGGTCACGGTGGGGCGGGGCTCTGTTCTGTAACCACACATCAGCGACTTCCTCAGCCTCCATGGCGTCTGTGTGTGGGATAATGGAGTCCTGTGGGATGAACAGACTATAAAGCCTGACTACTACTCGCGTGGGGCAGATGCTGTGAGCATGAGGTGTGCACCACACAGCAGGGAAGCCCATCCAGCAGGCGGTGCTGTGCCCTCACCCACTCAGTGTCTGTGAGCACACAGGAAATGCTGCAACAAGCTGGGCATGGAGGCACATTACCTGCAACCCCAGCACTCCGGGAGCCGGAAGCAGCAGGATCGCAAGTTCAAGCCCAGTCCGAGCAACTTAAAATTTAAAACCCTGTCTCAAAAAAATTTTTTTAGAAAAGGCTGAGTAAGTGGTTCAGTAAAAAGAACCTGGGTTCAGGATCTAAGACCAAAACAGAACAAAACACCAAACACAAAACAATGCTGCTAAGAACAGCTAAGAACCCAAAGGACTACTGGCAATTAGTCTGGGACTCCTCCTAAGGGAGACACTCGGGCAAATCCAACAGCTGGCATGGCAGGTATTGGAGAGGTGAGTCATGGTCTGGGGAAACCAGATGTCACTTACTTAATGCATTTAATCCACTCTTCCTTTTCTTCAGGTGTAGGAGCTGAAATCCTGTAGACTGTGTGGTTTCCTTCTACCACCCGCCCATCGGCCTCAGTCTTACAGGCTTTGATTACTTGGTCTTTATTGTCAGGGATGTAGAGCTCAAAGCAGTTCTGCGATTAAAAAGAAGAGAGTGGGCCGGGGATGTAGTGCAGTGGTGTCATGCCTGCCTCCCAAGTGCAAGGTCCTGAGTTCGACCCCAGGAACAACAAGGAGAAGAAGGAGGAGGAGGAGAAGGAGAAGAAGACAAGAAGAGAGTGATAGACAGATCTTAGAAAGCTGCTGCCCAAGGAAATGTTAATTCCCCAGAAAACTCTATTCTGACCATCCTAAAATACAGACAGTATATGCTCCCTATGGAGGCCAACTGCATGTGGAACAGGCCTCTAAGCAAAGACCAGCTGGCCTGATAGCTGTTAGCTCCATTCCTAAGGAGGGAGAAATATGGTTACTCAGTGCCTCCTAAACCCAACCTAGAAACATTCAGCATTTCAAGCAAAGGAACAATGTTTATGAGGTGCCCCAAGGATACAAAATAAGCAGTTCAGTCATGAGCGCTAGCGGCTGCCATTTAAGGAGGGTCAGTCTCTGCGCCTCACGTAAGGGACACTGAGGCAGAGGGGCAGCAGAAGGAGGTTATTACAGCCTCGTCTTTGGCTTGAACCCTAAAGATAATTTAAAAAGGCTGAGCTAAGGGTACAATAGTACTTTTCAAGTTGTGTTTTTCTTAAAAAGTCTGAAATTTCTTTTCTTTTTTCAAAGAACTGCTATTGCCCCTCCCCAGTATCTCAACAGAAATACTCACTGGTTTTTTCGAGTCCTCCACCTCCCGGATACTCAGGTTTTCTAGAGGGATAATTCCACGGGGCTCTTTATCCTGCAGAGCAGTGCAGACAGAAACACCACTCAGGGACAACTGGCTGCTGTGTTCTTCCTGCCCGCCCTCCCTCTCTGCTGCCCCCGTGCAGAGGCTGGCCATCAGCTTCAGTCCCACCCTGGTGTCTACAGCAAGAACACCACCAGAGTCTCCTAGGTGTCCCACAGTACCCTGGACCCAATACCCAGTCCTCTGCAGGCAGAAGGTTCCATCACAGCACATCTGAGTTCGCCTCCAGCCGGGGATGTGTAAGCTCCCTTCCCCCTGCTCTGCGGCCTTGGTTTTGGTGCCGGCCTGGAAGCTCCTGGAAGCCTTTCCCAGCCTCCAACTAGGAACTCCTGTCTTGCACCAACGCTGAGACTGCAGCTGTGTCACACACCTTTCCCCTCCTTCACTGCCTCCTGCCCACCTTGATGACCAGATAGGCTCTCAAAGAGACAGCGCCTTCCTGACAGCCCCGCCTGAACTGTGAAGCACCCGCGCACACACAGCATGGAGCTGCACTGCAGCCCCAGCCCAGCCGATCTGCTCAGTGAGGCCCATCTCAGGCAAGGCCCTGCCAGGGTGTGACACCCCCACCTCTGGCCAACCACACCAAGGCCTGCCACTTCGCAAGTTTCCGTATTTGATCAGAGTAACACATGCACAGAAATCAACCAGATCTCCCGCTTTTTGTAAAAGCAAAAAATAGTATTTTAAGCCACTTGTATCCCTGTGCCAACTATTTTCAATCTTTAATTCTCCCCCGAATTCTAGGACACCGCCACTGCACTGCTGCTCTGTGCGTCTAGTTTAGATGCCGTCTGCAGAAGATCACCTCCTCCCTGTTCTGTCCTCCCAGAACCCTTTGGCTACAGCCACACAGGTTTCCCCCGTACCCAGTGCTCTTCGGACCGTGCTGTGTTACCATCTCTCTTAGCTTTTCTTCCCTGAGAAACTTTCCCTCTGGAACCAAAACTCACCTTTTGTGGGGCAGGGGGGCCAACCTTTTTTCATATCATCTCCCCCTCTTGTCAAAATTTCCTTTCTTATGCTAATTCCTATCCGGCATGATACTAATTTCAACTCCCTGGCAAAATCCCTCTGGCTGCTCTGCTGAAAGCCCCATCCCAAAGCTTGAGACTTGGGCGGGGGATTTAGCTCAATGGTGCCCTGCCTGCTTGGCCCGCTTGGCTGCATCTGGGAAGGGAGGGTGGAAAGGTCGGGATGCCAGAGTTTATCCAACCCTCCTGTGCAGTCTACTCCCCCCACCCATAACTGGCTAAGAGTCCTCAGTCCTGGGGACTGAGGTGTTACCCTCCCTGAGATTGGGCCCCCGGACCCTTCTGGCTGTTGGGGACAGGTGCTCGGGACATAAAATGAAGGACGCAGATGATCTACCTCCTCAGCCGTGTCCAGGCAGCTTCCCCAACTCCAGCCTCCTCCCTCTTCACTTTCCTTCCCAGGGTTATCTGACCCTCCCGAGGAGTCTGCTGTGTTAAGCGGCACAGTCATCACCAGGTGGGCAGGGGGGTAGGCGAAGGGTCAACCTAATGTGGACCATAATGAGCACGTGACTTTGTTCACACTCTTCAAGACTGCTGAGGCAGAGACATCAGGGGTACACCGTATGACACATATTTGGACCTAAGACGATTTTAAACCAAAAGGATTTATACCCACGGCCTTGGCTAGCCCACTGCCCTGTTGCCGGTCCTGGCACACCGTGCTCCGAGAGGTCCTTGCCGCTCTCCTCACACTCTCCCTACCACCTGAGAATGTCTGGAGAGAGTCAGTGCTCAGGAGCACAGCCATCCCGCAGGGACTGGGCAGGCAGACTGAGAACTACTGGGCCGAACAACTTTTAAGGCAACTGCGGAAAGTCCTGGATATCAAAGCAGCTCCCCTGACGTGGTTCCCATCCTGGAACTTTAACTGGATCCCAGGGGCTGGGGTCAGTGCAGAGATGGGGTACGCTCAGTGTGCACAAGCCCGGGCGCCACCACCAGCCCCAACACGGGGTGCTGTAACTGGACTCATTGCCCTGCGCACAGTGGCGCACTCCTGCTCAGTGACACCCAGCTCCTGCAGGCAGGCAGAACCAGCCAACGCGCACCACTCTGGCTTATCTGACTTTTCTTAAGACCAACTACTATTTTTGCAGAAATAATATTTGTTCATTTTAAAGAACTTAAAATGCTGCAGAAAAGAACAAAGGTTCTTTGTTTTAAAACACTCCAAATCTGATCACTAATAAATCATCACCGCTTGCAGGAGGTAATTTTATGTGTGTACAGAAAGAGGAAGAGGGACAGGCTTTAGGAAAATGGGCTGTTCCACATGGTACTGTCATCATGGACAATCTACTTCAATTATACAGAACTTAAGAAAAAATGAAACAAACTGAAAAAAGGCTGAGTATGTGCCTCAGTAAAAAGGACCTGGGTTCAGCGTCTGATACCAAAACGAAACAAAACACCAAACACAAAACAATGCTGCAACAGCTAAGAACCCTGGTAAATTTTCTTTACCATAAGAGATAATTCCTAAAATAACCAGATTCAAATTTAAAAAAAAACAAAACAGCTTATGAGAAACCTTAGGAGAGGTTTTAATTTTAACGTTTTTTTTTTTTTTAAAGACAGAGTCTTGCTATGTCGCCCAGACTGGCCTCAAACTCACAGTGATCCTCCTGCCTCAGCCTCCCAAGGGCTGGGATTACACACTTGTGCCACCACACCCAGTTTAACAGTTCTGGACTCCTTGTTTTGAAAGATAAGTAATATTCTTAAAATTCTTCATACCTTTCTTTTCTCCTGACTTTTGTTGCTTATTTCCTTTTCACACTGCCCGGGTGTATGGCCTGCAAATCCTGCCCCGCAGCCAGTTCTCAGCCACTCAGCTCTACACTGAGACAAATCCACTCCACATCTCAGTGTGATTCAGTATTAGGTCTACATTTCAGTGTGTATTAGCCTCTGTTCAATATTTAAGAATTTTTTTTTACGTTTAAGTATATTTAAATATCAGTTCTTAAGGCATATGTATTAGCTCTACATTTAAACATATTAAAGTTCTGTTTCCAGTATGTTTCAGCACCAGTCCCACACTTCAGTATATCCTGGCACCACTCCTACATCCCAGTGCATTTCAGTACTCACTCTGTATTGAAGGGTATTTAAGGGTTAGCGCTGGCAGTGGGTAGGCAGGCTGGGTTGAGGCAGGTGGGCAAGCGAGTGGCCAAGCTCTCCAGCAGGTGTGGGTGGCTGGAGTCCTCCATGCCACGCCCCCGTGGCCTTCCCCATCAAGGTGGGGGAGTGAGGAGATGCCAACCCAGAGGGGCAGTGGCACCATGTCCCACATGGTCACGGGCAGCGGCCGTGGGGACCATTCTCACCAGGTCCAAGTGAAGGCCTATTACCACAGAGTCAGAACTGGAACAACGCAAATGGCCATCAGCAGATGGGCACATGAACAATCTGTGGCTGATCCGCACAATGGCGTATGATGGCTCAACCACTGACAAGCAATAGCACACAGGAAGGCCAGCAGGGTCATACTGATGCAGTAAGCTCTGCAAGAAACAAAAACCTATACACTGAGTGGTACAGATTTCTCACATCTGGAGAACTATGCAAGCTATTATCTGGGACACAAAATACATGGGCCGCTTGAGACGGGAGGACAGGAAGTGGTTACAAGTGGCCACAGGGAAAGTCCCAAAGTGAGGTATATACATGTTCATCACCGCCACTGGGGCAGCGGTCTCTAAGGTGGATAAAGACTATCGCCGCTCTGTCCGTCCTCGCTCTCCATCACAATACTGAGCATTACATTCTGGTATTAAGTTCGTTAGCTAAGAATGAGTAATTAATCATGTGTATGCATCTAAAAGCTACAACGTGCTAGGGATCCACCACCACCACCCCAGAGGTTACAATTTGAAACCAACATTTCTATCTCTTATGGGAAATTATTGTGGAAATTTCTGGGATGTCTCAATACTCCACATTTAAATGAAAACGATGATATAATTAATCCAACATCCTAAAAGTTCACAGCTAAGTGTAAATGCCTCACCCTGCATCTACAGAGAAATGGCTTTGTATGAAAAGACTCCTCAGCACATACCAAGTGCCTGCCACATACAACGTCAAGGCACATATGTTGCTTTAAAAGTTAAAGTGTCACCAATGCCTAGTATTACAGAAAGCTTTCCTAGTTGCTGTTGAATGTTTCTAAATAGCACATTGGGTCTGGCATGAGGGTGTGAGACCCTGATCCCAGCACTCTGGGCTCCCAAGGAGGAGCCCAAGCTGGCCAACTGAGTGACTCAGTGAGTGAGTCAGTGATGGTGAAAAAAGGTCTAGGGGGTGTAGTTCAGTGTGAAGACGTGGGGTTCAAGCCCCTGCACTGCAAAAAGAAAAAAACTAATCGATAAGGATATATACAGATATTTAGACAGAAATAAGTAAATAGCCACTGATTTACTTAGTATGAAAGACAAAGATGGGTCCTAAGGTCTTCTAATCAGAGAAGGGACTCGGGTTGAAAACCCCAAGACATGACTTTACTTTTTTTGGGGGGGATAAGGTCTCATTGTAGCTCAGGCTGGCCTTGAACTCGCTATGTAGCCCAGGCTAGCAGCGATTATTCTGCCTCAGCCTCCCAAGTGCTGGGATTACAGTTTGTACCACCATGCCTGGCCTGTGACTTCACTTTCTTGGCAACACGTACAAAGAGAACTTGGAAGCCTTGTTAACAGACAGCACAATCTAGTGCTGGAGACGGTCAAAGGCAAACCTGCTGAGCTGCTGCTCCACTTGGAGAGGCTGCAGTTTCAGGATGCAGGCAGGGAAAGCCTTTCTGAATGCCTGAGAAGATGGTCAACTCCATCAGGAGACTTAGGCCATGTTGCAGGAGCCACTTAACTGTAAGAGCCCAGAGCAGGTCTTCCCAGGCTCAGCACCCTACCCTCGAGGCCTGGCACCAGACACCCAGAGACACCAGGGGCCCAGGAA